CAATGCCATCTTACTTGTCAAAGTGGTCAGTTTAAGTTCATAATTGATCATAAAGATAGGATTAAGTGTCAAAGGGATCACATAAACAAAACCAGTGTCTGCTAGTAATAACTAATAGAATTAAAAGGAGAGAACAGTCCAACATGGGAAGCAGGATACACAGCAGAATGGCAGATGTCCTAAAGAGCACTCTGGCCTCAGAATCAGTCCTTAAGGCAGTCAGGTCCAGCTAAAAAGCCCATGAGAGTATTTTAGGCATGGAAAGCCAAGACACTGTGGGAAAAAAATGACCTAAATGAAAGATCTCTGTGAGTGAGATCCCAGTGGAAAGGACAGGCCATCAAAGAAGGAGGTACCTTTCTCTGAAGGGAGGAGAGAACATCCACTGTGATTATGGCCTTGTCTAAATAAGGTTGGAGTTTGTGAACTCAAGAGGCTTCCATAGCCTTGGCTGCTCACGACAAGAGCCTCAGGTGATTACTGACGTCATAAATAAGAGTGCCAATTGTTAAATCGACAACGGGAGTCACTGTGCACTTACTCCCCATGTAGGATCTCTGTCCTTAATGTGTTGTACTATGCAAATTAATGGTAAAACTAGTCTTCAAACAGTACTTTATACTTTGTGTGTCTGTGTGGGTGCAAACTGTAGACATCTTTACTTAGTATATACTAAGTTGATCTTCTGTATATAAAGATAATTACAAATGAATCTTAATGAAGAATGGAATGGAAGAGGGGGTAGGAGATGGGATGCTTTGTGGGTAGGAGGGAGGTTATGGGGGGAGAAACCACTATAATCCAAAAGCTGTACTTTTGAAATTTATTTTTATTAAATAAAAGAAAAAAAGAATGCAGGAAAAATAGAGGAGTCATTAAAAAACAGTTGTTCTTCCAAACATATTATATTGATTAGCTAGCCCATTGTACATAAAGCTTTCTCTTTTCTAATGTATAGATTTAAGGTAATACATTTTCTTTTTAGGACCATTATAATTGCATTCAATGAATGTTGGAAATATTTCTTAATTGTAATTTTTGTTGTTGCTCAGAACTAATTCTCTAATGCTTACTATAGTTTTTTTGATCATGAGTTATCAGAAATGCATTTTTCAATTTACAGACATTATGATCTTTTATTTTTTATTGGATTCAAGCCTAACTGTATGGCAATCAGAGAGCTATGGGACCAGGTTTTTTAGGCTTCCAATGTAAAAGATGTTTATAATTGGTCCATGAATACCTAAAGATATGTATTTTTGTATTGTTGGGTGAAATAATCTATTTATGTATAGTAGATTGTATTAAGTGTGCTATTCAAATCTTCAGTGTGTTTATAAGATCACTGTTGGTTTGATCTATCAATTGGTGACAGAGATGTGCTAAAATCTTCTACTATGATATAACATTTTTCCTTGTAGGAATCTAAATCTTAGCTTTATATTTTGAAATTAGCTTTATTTATTTATTATTTAATTTTTAATTTATAAAAGAACAAATTTTATGTATTTCATTATGCATAGATATGTTTTATATATATAAATGATACTTATAAGTGAACATAATGATACTTCCCATCATACTCTCTCTCCCTGCTCCTTCTTTTCCTATTTTTCTTTAAATTTTTGTAATGACATATTTTCAGTTTACCTTATTATCACAAGCTTAAACCTCCACTAGATTAGAATTTAACAAGTAACAAGTAGTAAACCACTGCCCCTCAGAGTATAGACAAGGGCTATAAACAATAATCAAATCTCAAAATGTCCATTTCACTCATATACATTACTTTTTTTTGTACTCTGTATACTAGTTACCACAGATCAGAGAAAAATATGATATTTGTCTTTTTGGGGCTGGTTTATCTTTTTGATGCATACAACTAAAATATTAAGCCTTTCTGATTAATTGAAACTATTTGTAGAGACTCTGCTTCTCACTTGTTATGCGTTTTCTGTTACATTCTGGTTTTTTGTATTATTATATTTATATATCTCTATCTTTTGATCTTCAATTTTTATGTAAACTTCTGCTTTAGGCATATCATTTGTATGTGGTATTGAACTGGATTTACTATGTTTCCTGCTATGACAAATTTTTGTCTTTCAAGATTGAGCAATTTAGTGTTTTATCTCTATAATTACTGATATAGTTAGTTTTGTATGTATAGTAGAAATAAATGTGCCTGCTTGAAAACTTTCATAAATCTAGAATGTTCTAATTTTCATCATGCCTTAGCCAGTTCTTTAGTTCTGAATCAGTTTTTTCCTCTTTATTGTGTGTGTGTGTATTTTTCTTTGTTTTGTTTTGTTTTGTTTTGTTTTGTTTTGTTTTTTTGACAGGCAGAGTGGACAGTGAGAGAGAGAGACAGAGAAAGGTCTTCCTTTTCCATTGGTTCACTCCCTCAATGGCCGCTGTGGCTGGCGCACCGCGCTGATCCGAAGCCAGGAGCCACGTGCAGGTTAATCCACCGCCTGTAATCCTGGCATCCCATAGAGTTCTGGCTGCTACACTTACGATCCAGCTCTCTGCTGATGTGCCTGGGAAGGCAGCAGGAGATGGTCCAAGTGCTTAGGCCCCTACACCCAAGTAGGAGACTCGGAAGAAGCTCCAGTCTGGCCCATGCCTGGCTGTTGAGGCCATTTGGGGAGTGAACCAGTGGATGGAATATTTCTTTCCCTGTCTCTCCCTCTCTCTCTCTGTAACTCTGCCTTTCAAATAAATAAAACAAACCTTTTATAAAAAAGAAAGATTTGCTGGGAAAACAATTCTATTTTGACAGATACTCTACCTTTGCTAAATGTGCTAAATTACAATGGTTTTGAGGTTATAGCTCTGATTTGTGCTTGAGGTTGACAACTATATATATCCATATAATCATAAAATAAAACAGCATATAGAATTATTTTTATTTATTGGAGAGATACAGAGACCTTGCTTTTTCTGGGTCACTCCCCAAATACCTGCAACAGCAGGGGCCAGGCCAGACTGAAACCAGAAGACTAGAACTTAATATATGTCTCTTACATGGGTGGCAGAGACCAAAGAACTTGAGCCATCACTACTGCCTCTTAGGGTTCACATTAACAGGAAACTGGAATTGGACTCAAATCCAGGTACTCTTATACAGTATATGAGTATCCCAAGTGATGTCTTCATTGCTATACCTAATGCCCAACCCCTCAAAATATTTTCATCTTATTTATTTTTTAAAGATTTGTTTTATTTATTTGAAAGACAGAAAGAGAAAGAGAGAGAGTTCTTCATCCACTAGTTCACTTCCCAAATGGCTGCAACAGTGAGGACTGGGCCAGGCTGAAGCCTGGAGCCAGGAGCTACATCTGGGTTTCCCACATGGGTGCATGGGCCCAAGCACTTGGGTCATCTTCTGTTGCTTTCCCAGGCTGTAGCAGAGAGCTGGACCAGAATTGGAGCATCTGGGACTCGGACTGGTGCCCATATGGGATGCTGGCACGTTAGCAGAAAGATGGGTCAGAAGTGGAGCAGCCAGGACTCAAACTGGTGCCCGTATGGTATGGACCTTCTATGCCACAATGCCAGCCCCTAATTTTATTTTGTGCATAATACTGTACTAGGTACCTTGTAGCATCAGCAAATGAAAGAATATAGTCCTGAAATATTGGCTTTTAGAGATTATATGAAAATACTATATACACAGATAATTTTAAAGTGAAAAAAGCACTTTCTATAAAACATACAACTAAATATACAATTAAATATTGTTTCTTTTAGGGCTGGTGAATGAAGAGATCAACAAATAAAGATATACAAATATAATAATACAAAAAGCCAGAATGTAACACAAAAAGCGTAACAAGTGAGAAGCAGGGTCTCTACAAATGGTTTCAATTAATCAGAAAGACTTAATATTTTAGCTATATGCATCAAAGATAACCAGTCCCCAAAAGAAAAATATCATATTTTTCCCTGATTTGTGGTAATGAAGAATTTGACCTATATTGCAATATGTAAAACTATAGGCTTTTTTTCCAAAGGTTTATTTTATTTATTTGAGAGGTAGAGTTACAGACAGTGAGAGGGAGAGACAGAGAGAAAGGTCCTCCTTCCTTTGGTTCACTCTCCAAATGGTCGCAACAGCTGGAGCTGTGCCTATCCTAAGCTGGGAGCCAGGTGCTTCTTCCCAGTCTCCCATGCGGGTGCAGGGGCCCAAGGACTTGGGTCATCTTGTAATGCTTTCCCAAGCCACAGCAGAGAGCTGGATGGGAAGAGGAGCAGCCCGGACTAAAACCAGTGCCCATATGGGATGCCGGTGCCGCAGGTGGAGGATTAACCTGTGCCAAAGCGCTGGCCCCCACTATAGGCTTTTTAATGTAGAATGATAATATCAAATTTTTAAAGAAAATTAATCATGCAACTTTGATTATGTGAACTGCAGTATTGTTCATGAAGCATACTTTCCATAATGACAAATGAGAGTCATAGACATTGTTAAATATACATACGGAAGTGATGTTATAAAAATGTAGCCGCCGGCGCCGTGGCTCAATAGGCTAATCCTCCACCTTGCGGCGCCGGCACACCGGGTTCTAGTCCCGGTTGGGGCGCCGGATTCTGTCCCGGTTGCCCCTCTTCCAGGCCAGCTCTCTGCTATGGCCAGGGAGTGCAGTGGAGGATGGCCCAGGTGCTTGGGCCCTGCACCCCATGGGAGACCAGGAAAAGCACCTGGCTCCTGGCTCCTGCCAGGATCAGCGCGGTGCGCCGGCTGCAGCGGCGGCCATTGGAGGGTGAACCAGCGGCAAAAGGAAGACCTTTCTCTCTGTCTCTCTCACTGTCCACTCTGCCTGTCCAAGAAAAAAAAAAACAGAAGTGAAGTAAAAATGTAGCCTCTATTTATCCATAAATCTGTAATGAAATACAGAGAGAATTTGCAAAGGTTTGGAAATTATTACTGAGGGTAGAACATTCACATTAATTTTTAGCATGCCATTTACTAAAATATGTTTTCTTTCTCTCCACAGAAATCTCTTTCACAACTTAACCCAGGTAAAAATTTTCTAAATTTTATGTATCTTTTGTAAGTCACTACTATACTGTTTCTCATATTCCATGTTAGCAGACTAGGAAGTTAGAGTGGTGGTACTTGGAGTAAGTTTTGAGGAGCCATAGTGAGGCTGCATAAGACCTATTCAGGAAGTGCACCCTCTTCCAACCACACATCTGCAAGAGGATGGGTTTTCCCCTATATCCATCTACCAAATGCACAGCCACAGTGTGAATGCAGGAGCAGAGCTGATTATTCAGATGTCTTCTATTAATGCGCACATGAAAGAGATTGTGAAAATATGCAGCAGTCATTTTTTTTACCAATTTTTGTTTAAAATATTTTAATATTTTAATATTTTAATAAATTTAATATTTAAATATTTAAAATATTTAAAAATATTAATATTTTTAAAAATATTAGCTAGCATGTAATAGGTTTATCATTGTTTTAAAAATAAGTAAATACCTTTTTTAAGATTTTTTTTTATTTCTTTGAGAGGTAAAGTTACAGACCGAGAAAAGGAGAAACAGAGAGAAAGGTCTTTCATCTGCTTGTTCACTCCCCAAATGGCTGCAATGGCTGGAGCTGAGCTGATCCAAAGCCAGTAGCCAGGAGCTTCTTCTGGGTCTCCCACTTGGGTGCAGGGGCCTGAGCACTTAAGCCATCTTCCACTGCTTTCCCAGGCCATCACAGAGAGCTGAATTAGAAGAGGTACAGCCAGGACACAAACCAGAGTCCATATGGGATGCCAGCACCACAGAGGGAGGCTTAATCTACTAGGCCACAAAATAAATAAATATCTTAAAATGTTCTCAGTTTTAATCTGCCCTATGGTAAATATTGATAGATCTAATCCACATAAATCGAAAGCATTGTAAAATCTTCCATAATTTCTTAGAGTATGAAAGGGCCCTGAAATCAGAAAGTTTTTATCTTTTTCATAAAGATTTATTTATTTACTTGAATTGCAAGTTACAGAGAGAGGGGGAGAGAGAGAGATAATCCATTTGCTGGTTCAGTCCCCATGTGGCCACAGTGAGGGATGAGCCAGATCAAAGCCAGGAGCCAGGAGCTTCATCCAGGTCTCTCAGGTGGGTGACAAGGACCCAAGCACTTGGGCAGCCAAGAGACAAACTGGCACCCATAATGGGTTAATGGGATGCTGGCATTGAAAGCAGTAGCTTTACCTCCTACGCCACAAGGCTGGCCCCTATTCAGTTATTATTAATGCTATAGCTACAATAATGGTCAAAACCAAGAAAAAATATTATCATTGAGGAATAAATTGTAAGATAAACAGAAATCAAAAGGAGAACTTCCACACATAGAATATATACAGACCCAAATAATACAGGTAACCTCCATCACATTCAAAATCCATTGGAATACCTACAGAAAGTATATGTATTGTGTAAAATGCTAGTGCCCAAGTAACAGACCTTTGCATTAATATAGGTGCGTGTGTGTATAAAATTCAAAAACAAGAAAAGGAGTTTATTGGTAGTCAGAAATAATTGAGACTCACAGCCAGAGTTCTAAGATCGAGTTCTGAATAAAGAATGTTAAAATAGAAGTTAAATGCTATTGTGTAAGGGGTGAGGTTGTAGCATTCATATGAGAATAGGAAACAAAGACTTCAGCCTGTGGTCAAGGAGGAGCTCATCTCCTTATATAAAAACTGGATTTTAAAAAGGTTACGGGGACTAGTAATGCTCTGCTCACTGGCATATGTTAATTGCAAAGAAATAGTACATCCTTTTGGGGCTATAGATGGACAAGGAATTACCTAAAATGCCTTTCGGGTGATGTCCTAGTTTAACAGTCTGAGGCTTGACAAACTAGTGCAAAGAAATAAACACAAAAATGACTTTTCACGCAAAAAATTCCAAGAGCACAGACTATTACAAAAACCCATTTCCAGGGGCCAGGTCCATGGCCTAGTGTGTAAAGCTGCTGCTTGCAACACTGGCATCCCATATGAGTGCCAGTTTGAGTTCCAGCTGCTCCACTTCCAATCCATCTCCCTACTGATGTGCCTGGGAAAGAGTGGAGGATGGCCCAGGTGCTTGGGCCCCGTCACCCTCATGGGAGACCTGGATGATGCTCCTGGCTCCTGGCTCCTCAGTCTGTGTGTGTGTGTGTGTGTGTGTGTGTGTGTGAGTGTGTGTGTGTAATTCTGCCTTCCAAATAAATTGAGTCACTCTCCAAATAAATTTGAAGGCAGAGTTACATGGAAAGACAGAGAGATGTCTTCTATCTGCTGGTTCACTCCCCAGATGGCACCAAGAGCCAGAGCTGATCCAATATGAAACCAGGAGCTTGGAACTTCTTCTTGGTCTCCCATTGGGTATAGGGGCCCAAGGATTCGGGACATCTTCCGCTGCTTTCCCAGCCACATCAACAGGGAACTGGATCAGAAGTAGAGCAGCCAGGACTCAAACCAGCGCCTTTATGGGGAACTGGCACCACAGGCAGTGGCTTTAGCCATTATGCCACAGCACCAGCCCCAGTAAATAAGTCTTTTTAAAATTTTTTTTCTATAACTAATAGTACACAAGATTCTCATAGAAAAACTCTGTAAAATACCTCAAAAAATAAGATACAAATTAATAACAAATTGACTGGAATTGACACAAAAATGGAGAAAGCTTATACTATTCAACACTAGATACAGAATCATGTGAAAGATTAGAATTCATATTTAAAACAAAGAGATAAAAGAAGGAATAAAAAAAGGGCTTGTTCAGAAACTATAGAAAATTCAGAATTTGAAAATTATCTCTGGGGCTGACTGCTCCACTTCTTTTTTTTTTTAATTATTTATTTATTTATTTGAAAGGCAGAGTTACAGAGAGGCAGAGGCAGCTAGAGAGACAGAGAGGCCTTCTATCCACTGGTTCACTCCCCAAATGGCCACAATGGCCAGAGTTGGCCCAATCAGAAGCCATGGGCCAAGAGATTCTTGTTGGTCTCCCATGTGAGTGCAGGGGCCCCAGCACTTGGGCCATCCGCCACTACTTTCCCAGGCGATAGCAGAGAGCTGGATTGGAAGTAGAGCAGCTGGGACTCAAACCAATGCCTGTGCAGGATGTCAGCACTGCAGGCAGTGGCTTTACCCACTACACCACAGCTCTGGTCCCCTTTTATTGTTTTTGTTATTTTTGTTTGTTTGTTTTTTGCTCCACTTCTGATTTCTCTCCATCTCTCCCTCTCTTTGTAACTCTGTGTTTCAAATAAATGAAATAAATCTTTAAAAGAAAGAAAAAAATCCCATTAAGATATCTTAAAATGAAAAAAATTAAGCTTCTAAGAATCAAAATCCAATAAAAGATTAACAGCAGACTAGATAAAGTTGAGAAAATTGGAGAACTAATCATTTGGAATGAAGGGCTAGTGCTGTGGCATAGTAAGTTAAGCCTCTGCCTGCAGCACCAGCATCCCATATGGTCACTGGTTCAAGTCCTGGCTGTTCCACTTCCAATCCAGCTTCCTGCTGATATCCTGCGAAAGCAGTGGGAGATGGCCCAAGAACTTCAGTCTCGGCACCCATGTGGGAGACCTGTAAAAATCTCCTGGCTACTGGCTTTGGATCACCCCAGCTCCAGCAATGCAGCCATTTGAGGATGGAAAACCTCTCTCTCTGTCTCCCTCTCTTGGTCTGTAACTCTGCCTCTCAAATAAATAAACATTTTAAAATTTTTTGGAATGAGACTCATGTAGAATGCAGCAAATCAATGTGAAAAGATAGAAAATATCCAAAGAAATTTAAGAGTCTTAGAGGACTGAAACATTTCATCATGCATATAATAGAAATTCCAGGGAGAGCTTCCAAGATGGCAGAGGGAGATACTGCTCTAGTCTAGGAGAAGATAGCTTAAAAAAAGTGGACAGAATAAAGTCTCAGGGAAGAGTTAGGGAGAAAATGGCAGAGGAAACTCTATACAAATTAAGGGACAAGGTGGACCTAGGTGAAGGGCATGGATGCCCACAACTTAGGACCCCAGCAGTCGAGAGTCTCTGCACCAGTGTTGGAAAGTGAGGTGAGACCAGACTGCAGCAGCCCAAGCCACTGGTGATAAAGCTGCAGGAAAAGCCTAGAGGAAACTGGGCTTGTAACCCCATGGGGGATGGTGTACCTGCCAAACTAGAGGAGGGAAAAAAAGGAAGGGCATGTTTTTCTCTCCCTGATTACCTTACAGTGGCATCCTGTAACAAGCCAATAAAGCAGGCACCATTTTGGACATACATAATAGCTGTGCCAGCTCGTGTCCATGCCAAGCAACCAGTCGAGTGGAGATTCCTAACTATGGTGGGGAGAAGTAACAGGGGGCAGAGTGATCATGACTGTGGGAGGCTTATAAGCCAGGACTGTGAAAAAAAAACTGAGGCTATGTGGGAAGGTTCATGGTGTGGCTGGGACTTTGGGCAGTCACTGTGGGAGACTGCACACACACAGGGCTTCCTGGTTACCTGCTGAGGGACACTGCAGGGGAATCTGAGCTTACACTGAGGACTGAACAGATCCTTTGTGTGGTCGGTCCTGTGGGCAGAGCAGACAAATATTATACCCACTGGGGCTAGCACTCAGGCACTGGTCTCCTTTGAGGAAAGGAGCTCAGCTGAGCAGAATAAACCTCCCTTCTGATAAAAAACAAACAAAAAAAGATCTACTAAGCCAAACCTGGGTGTGTCACCTTAGACACACCCTTTGCCCAGGAGAACTGAACAGAGCTCCCTGGCCACATTCACCACACACCTCTAGATATTCACTGAAAGCAGACACTCCATTACCTACAGAAGCAAGGTAAAAAGATAAAACCGCCACAGTGAAAAATCAAAGAAACTAACAAGTATCTCCACAAATGCCAAGTAATTCAAGAAATAAGAATAAGGAAGACAATACAACACCTCCAAAAGAACACAACACTTCAATACTAGATTGTGAAGATGATGAGATTGAAGAAATGCCAGAAATGGAATTCTAAAAGTTATCATAAGA